CCCTTTCTCCCATGCGTTACCCTCAGCAGCACCCAGGTGCTGTCTCTGGGCACCCAGGCTCTAGATATTTGCAGAGGTTGTGTGCTCTGCTGGGACGCATTTCCTCTAGGGCCACAGAGCATTCTCTTTTGGAGACCTGATGCTTTGTTCTTTCTGTGAATTCTTTTTTGTAGCAAAGTATATTGGTGGTGCAGAAGACAATATCAAATAGACGTGGACAATTTAAAGACTAAGGAAAAAACATATACACACACAAACATATATTCTTTGAATATTCCTTTAAATTTTATTTATTTATTTATTTATTTATGGCTGCGTTGGGTCTTTGTTGCTGCGCGCAGGCTTTCTCTAGTTGTGGCGATTGGAGGGCTACTCTCCTTTGCGGTGCGCAGCCTTCTCCTTCCGGTGGTTTCTCTTGTCGCGGAGCACGGGCTTTAGGTGCGCAGGCTTAAGTAGTTGTGGCTCGCGGGCTCTAGAGCGCAGGCTCAGTAGTTGTGGTACGCTGGCTTCATTGCTTCACAGCATGTGGGCTCTTCCCAGACCAGGACTCGAACCCTGTGTCCCCAGCACTGGCAGGCGGATTCTTAACCACTGCACCACCAGGGAAGCCCTAAAAATTTATTTTTAATTTTTACACATAGCAGGCACTAATAATATTTTTTTATTAAGTGAGCGAAATGTCCAACTATACCATAATAATTAAATAAATTACGGGATAATTCACTCAGCTATCATAAATTCTTTAATTAGGAAACAGATTCTCATACCATGATGGTGGGATATAAACTGGTTCATTATGAGAGAGCCATTTGCCTTCATATATCAGAAAAATTTGAAAATGGGCATACTCGTTGCTCTAAGAACTTTATTTCCAGGACTTAATTCTAAAAACAAATTACATAGTGTTATCATTTAGCTATAAAGAGGTGTATTGAAGAACACTTCAAATTAGCCAAAATTTATGAACTATGGCCATTATTTTTCTTTTCCATATTCTCTGTCATGTGCTTATGTTATCTTTGAATTTTTTTTTTTTGGGCCACAACCCGCGGCTTGCAGGATCTTAGTTCCGTCACCAGGGATCGAACCAGAGCCAAAGTGCCGCGTCCTAACCACTGAACTGCCAGGGAATTCCTGCATATTCTTTAAATTGTCCATATCTGTTTTATATTCTCTTCTACATCATTGATATACTTCACTATACAAATATATTAATATATATTTGTATACAAATATATTAACTTGTATATTCACATATACATATATAGCGTATCTATAAAAAAAAGCTCACAGATCAGAAGTGATGAATTTTGATGAATTCATCATCAAAATCTGATGAATTTTCCCCAACTGAACACAGCTGCGTAACTGGCCCCCAGGGGCAGAAACAACATCCCTAGCTCCCTGGCACCCCCCTCCCCACTGCTCAGTCATCCAACACCATAGGTTAGTTTTGCCTGCTTCTTGAAGCTTTTAATAGAGGTAAACGAAGGCCAGAGAGAGCTCTAGGCTCAGTAATTTAATTGCCGTTCAGATACCCGTCTATCTGTGGTAAAAGTTAGGCAGCCACTGTGCGCTATATGGTCCATTTATAAAAGCTGTTTGGTTGTTTTTTCTCGTCCCTACAGAATAGCTTTAGATTAGAGCAATTGTGTGGTTATCCTCAGGTTAGGAGGAGAACGGAACGTGCGCACCAGTTTTGAGGAGCTGCCGTGCTGGTCACCGCCCCTGCCCTGCCCCCAGAGGGAGGTGCTGTCCTGACCCCCTGGCCACCCTCCGGTGGGCACACCTCAACAGTGTGACGTGGTTCTGGCTTAGTTCTCGCTGGTGAACTGCGCCTGAACCCTCCTCATCTTTCACGGCCCTCCTCAAATGTCCCCTATTCTTGGCAGCCACCAGCAAGGCCCCCGGGGGTGTCTGGGTGACCTCCAATCGTGCCCATCTCGCTCAGGTGTGGGGACAGGGCCCCGCTGCCTGCGCCTCACCAAGCCAGGAGTCCCTGGGGGAGGATCAAAAGTGCCAGATCTGCGTGGGTCCTGGGTGCCCAGCGTCGCCCCACTCAGGCCTGGCCCACAGGGCTTAGGAAACGTGTAATTAATAAATGAAGCATCAGATAGCCTCTGGGCCACACAGGCCAATTCAGCCTCATCACTGAGGTACTGGCCCTTCATCGCCTGGGTCCCAGAGACCTCCCACCCTCCCTGAGGCCTGGGAGTGGGTCACTCTGTACCTCTTCAGCCCCTTTTTTTGTTCACATCTTCATGCCTTTCCTGAGCTCAGGCACTCAGTAAGCCTGTGGAACGTGGAGTCACTACCCAGAAAAGTGGCAGACGCTGGCCCTACCCTCGGGGCTCTGGTGTGATCTGGGGACAGCAGCAGACCCAGACACGCACAGCAGCGTTGAGGGAGGTGACCCGGGCAGTGTGGGAGCCCAGGAAAGGCCCAAGAGCAGCGTTACCCAGAGTGTAAGCCGCATGTGTGGTTTTTAACTTCTTCAGTAAACACTTTTTTGTTAGTAGAAAGTAGAACGGAATGGGCCAAATTAATTTTAATAATATGTTTGTATAATCTGATACACCCCCAATATTCTTTTTTAAATATTTATTTATTTATTTATTTTATTTTGGCTGCCCCAAGTCTTAGTTGTGGCACGTGGGATCTTTTTAGTTGTGGCATGCGGGCAACTAAATATTCTCATTTCAACATGTATTCAGTATTTAAAAATTTTTTTGATTAAAAAAATTTTAAACAACTAATTAATTATATTTTTAACTTTGTAATGAGATAGTTTACATTTCTTTTTTTTAATTAATTAATTTGGTTGTGCTGGGTCTTACTTGCGGCAGGCAGGCTCCATAGTTGTGGCATGCATGTGGGATCTAGTTCCCTGACCAGGGATTGAACCCAGGCCCCCTGCATTGGGAGCACAAAGTCTTAACCACTGTGCCACCAGGGAAGTCCCTACATTTCTTTTTTTTTTTCCCACACTCAATCTTCTAAATCCCGTGTGTCTTTGCCACTTACTGCCCATCTCAGTTGGGAGCAGCAACGTTTTAGGTGCTTGAGAGCCACCTGGCTGATGGCTGCCGTATTGGACACGGCAGCTCTAGCGTCTATTTGGAACTGATCAGGAGGTGCTAATCAGAAGGGGCTTCCTAGAGGAGGTGATAGCTGAAGTGAGGCTTATGGGAGCTTCCCAGGAAGTTGGGAGTAGGTGGTGAGGCAGGATTTCTAAAGAGAAAAAGAGCACATACCCTCGCTTTCTCCTTCATTCACTCATTCATTTGAACCTCCCAGTTGCCTGATGACACAGCCATGGGTCAGAACAGGCTCCACCATTCAGATGACCAGACATTTATTAAGCACCTGCTATATGCTGGGCACTGTTCTAGAAGCTCCCCTGTGATGCTTATAATCTGAAGGGGGAGCCGAGGTTTGACAGTAAAGGTAAATAAAATAGTTACATGGTGTGAAATGAGCCAGGGAAGACTTTTTTTTGTTAATATTTATTTATTTGGCTGCACTAGGTCTTTAGTTGTGGCATGCAGGGTCTAGTTCCCTTACCAGGGATGAAACCCGGGCGCCCTGCATTGGGAGCATGGAGTCTTCTTTTTCTTTTCATTTTTAAATTTATTTTTTAGAAATTTATTTTATTTATTTTATTTTTGGCTGCATTGGGGTCTTCATTTCTGTGCGTGGGCTTTCTCTAGTTGCGGTGAGCAGGGGCTTCTCATGGCAGTGGCCTCTCTTGTTGTGGAGAACGGGCTGTAGGCACTCAGGCTCAGTAGTTGTGGCTCGCAGGCTCTAGAGCGCAGGCTGAGTAGTTGTGGCACACAGGCTTAGTTGCTCTGCGGCATGTGGGATCTTCCCGGACCAGGGATCGAACCCATGTCCCCTGCATTGTCAGGCGGATTCTTAACCACTGTGCCACCAGGGAAGCCCGGGAGCCCGGAGTCTTAACCGCTGGACCACCAGGGAAGTCCCAGGACATTTTTTTAAAATGATGGAAACAGAAGAAGAAGGCACTGACTTTAAAGAACTGGCCAAGAGGGAATTTCCTGGCAGTTCAGTGGTTAGGACTCTGCACTTGCACTGCCAGGGCCCCCAGTTCGATATCTGGTTGGGGAACTAAGATCCCACAAGCCGTGCGGCACGGCCAAAAAATAACAATAATAAATAAATAGAGAATTGACCAAGAAAGGCCTCTTGGAGGAGGTGACAAGAGCTGAGACCCAAGTGATGAGAAGAAAACTGGATAGATGGGCAGGTGGAGGGCACAGCACGTGCAAAGGCCCTGGAGGTGGGAAGGAGTGTGAATTGTCCCTGGAACTGACAGAGGCCTGCGAGGTGGGGACACACAGCAAGATGGTGAGGGGTGACACTGGTGGGGTGGCCAGGGCAGGGCCAGAGGGCTTGGTAGCCACGGGGTAGAATCCCCCCAGTGGGAAGCAAGGATGCCAGAAAGGAGGCTGCCACAGTGATCTGGCTGGGCAGGCGGAGGTGGGGAGCCGGGAGCTCAGGACCCAATGCCTGGCAACTGGCTGGAATTGGGAAGGTGCAGGCCCAGCAGTTTTCAGGAGACAGCTCTGGGGGTGTGGTCAGAGTGAGGGTCCAGGGGGCCAGCTCGAAGGCAGCCTATCTCTGCATTCATTCATTCATTACATATTTCCTGCCAGGGGCATATTTCAGCTGGGGGCTGGTGCAGTGGTAACCGGAGCCATGGGTGGGACAGGAGCTGGAGGAGGGAGGGAGGCAGGGAGTGCCCCAAAGTGTGTGCTGGGCTCCTCCTCTGGGTGGTAGGGACCCAGAGCCAAGGTTCCCACCTCCCGGAAGCTCCCAGCTAGAGACAGGGCCCAGGCCTTGCCTCAGCCCCCTGGGCCTGGAGCCCCAGGGTGGGGAGAGTCTGCCCTTCCAGCCGGAAGGACCTTGCCCAGCAAAGTGAGGGCAGGCGGCTCAACTCTCTGGGACCCTCCTGACCTGTCCTGCCTTCTCCCTTCCAGGTAAGAGCAAGGAGGCGGAGATTAAGAGAATCAACAAGGAACTGGCCAACATCCGCTCCAAGTTCAAGGGTATGCTGGGGGCCCAGGCTCCTGGGTCTGTGGGAGGAGCGCGCTGTGCGCTGGGGCTGGGATACCTGGGACTTGTAGGTTTGATCCTTCCTCATTTTTGCCTCCCCTTTCTTCCTTCCTCTGGCCCCAGGGGACAAAGCCTTGGACGGCTACAGCAAGAAAAAGTATGTGTGTAAACTGCTCTTCATTTTCCTGCTCGGCCACGACATCGACTTTGGGCACATGGAGGCCGTGAACCTGCTGAGCTCCAACAAGTACACGGAGAAGCAGATAGTGAGTCTGGTTAAAGAGGGAAGTGGCAAACCACTGGAGAAGGGAGGCACTTCCGGGAAAGGAGGGTGATGTTGGAAAATGGAGGTATCTACAGAGGAGAGAGTTAGGGAGACCCGGGAAAGAAAGGGAGAGAGCGGAGAGGGAAAAGGGGCCAGGAAAGAGGGGCGTGGTTATGGAAAGAAACGCGAGGGGCGTGGTCAGAGAGGACAGGGGCGGGGTCAGGGGTTGAAAGGGAGAGGGGCGTAGTTGGGGGAGGGGGGACAAGGAGAGAGGGCGGGTTCTGGGAGAAGGCAAGAGGGGTGTGGTCAAAAGGGAGAAGAGCAGAGGGGTGACGTCAGGAAGCGGAGGGGCAGAACGGCACAGATTTAAGGGAAATAGGCAGTTCAGCCAACTGACCGCGGACTTGCCGGTCAGTTGGTCTTTATTGCACACGTGACCGACGTCTGTCCCTCAGGTTCACTCGGAGCAGTGGCAGCTGGCCACCAGCCAGACTCCGGTTCAGCAAATCCACCTGTTCGACGTCCACAGTTACCCCGCCTATGTTTCCTCTGGTGGTGGATTCGGGCCTGTGAGTGGACCTGGGCCCTGAGGGAGGGAGGAGGGGGCTGGGCATCCGCACTCCTACCTAGTGGGGGGTGGGGAGGGGGACCGGGGGCTATGTTGTTGCCCTCACTCTGTCCCTGTCAAGGCTGATGACCATGGTTATGGTGTTTCCTACATCTTCATGGGGGATGATGTGATCACCTTCCACATCTCCAGCAAAAAATCAAGCACAAGAACGGTGAGACTAACCCACCCCCGCCCCTTCCTCCCTCAGGACTCCCACTTCCCTGCTCTCCTAGGAGCGCAGACTCCCATCTCCTGACCATCCCATGATCCAGGAGTCCTAATACCCAAACCCCTCACCCCTCAGACCCAGGAACGGGGACCCCAGACCTCTTGTTTCTCAGCCCCTGGGAGCTCCTCTCCCAGCTTCTCCTGGACGTGACACATCTCTCCTTCCAGGACTCCCACCGGCTGGGGCAGCACATCGAGGATGCATTGTTGGACGTGGCCGCCCTTTTCCAGGAGGGGCAGCGTCTTAAGCGCAGAGGGTTAGGGGAGGACGACTCGGGGCACAGCCGTGACTCTCTCCCCTGCCATACCAGGGGCTCCAGGGCACCCACGACAGCCACTAACTTTTGACACCTTCCAGAGGGGAGCTGGTCTCCCCAGGAACTAGGGGGAAGGTCTCTATGGCTGCGCTGGTGCAGGACAGAAGCAGCCTGTTTGGGTTTGGGAATCCCACAACCGGTCTAATAAAGATGTGTGCGCTGGGGATGTGGTGTCTGCCGTGCTCTCGAGCTGGGCAGGGATGGGAGAGGTGAGGGTCAGGGTAGAGGAGGAGAAAAGTTCCCATCCATCTCCAGGCCCCACCATGAATTCCCGGTTACAATCACCACATCAGATATAACCCCCAACACCTGCCCAATTTACTGCATTTCCAGCTCTAGTCGCACCAAACCCAGCCATTCGAAGCCCATCCCAGTCAAACAACCCCACGAGCTCTCATGAGCTCAGTTGCAACACCAACTGCCCACCCTAAACTTTTTTTTTTTTTTTTAATATTTTCTTGGCCAGGCTGCAGGGCATGTGGGTGCTTACTTCCCCGACCAGGGATCGAACCTGCGCCCCTTGCATTGGAAGTGCAGAGTCTTAACCACTAGACCACCAGGGAAGTCCCTGCTCACCCTAAACTTAAAGGTTGACATCTCCTAAATGAATCCCCCAGGATTCTTATTACTTCTAGAGGCTGCCCACATTCCTAGGTTATGACCCCATCTTCCATCTTCACAGCTAGCATTGCTGCATCCCTCTGTGGCTTTCTCCTCTAGTCATACTTCCTGTGACTGACTCCTGCCATCATCTTCTAAGGACCCTTGTGGCCCTTAGGACCCTTGTAGTTAGACTGAGCCCACCCAGATAATCCAGGATTAGCTCCTAATCTTAAAACCAACTGATTAGCAATGTTAATTCCATCTGCGACCTAATTCCCCTTTGCCATGTAGCGTAACACATGCACAGGGTCCAGGGACTAGGAGGTGGGCATCTTTGGGGGGACCATTGTTCTGCATACCACAGGGGCATAGATGAAACCAGACTGGCCACGAGTTGATAAGTAGTGAAACTAGGGGAAAGGTCATTGGGATGGGGATGGTTCATCATATTATCTTACTTTTCTTTTGTCATTTAAAAAAACTGACGTACAGTTGATTTACAATGTTCGTTAGAGATTGTCCTACTTTTGTAGATGCCTAAAAATTCCATGACAAAGAGTTAAATGAGGGGGCTTCCTGGCGGTCCAGTGGTTAAGACGCCGCACTTCCACTTCAGGGAGCACGGGTTCAATCCCTGGTTGGGGAACTAAGATGCCACATGCTGTGCTGGGCGGTTGTGGGGGGGCGGGCAAAAAAAAAGTTAAATTCAAGGTTATTGAGCTTAAAAAAAAAAAATTAAATGAGTGAAAATACTGCTCAGCTTTTTCCCTCCTTTGCTGATTATAAAGAACACCTCCCCACTCCAGCCTGTCCAATATAGTCATAAGCGGGGGCAGTCATAAGCGGGCGGGGGGGGGGGTGAATGTCACGGGGGTCTGATCCACCTGCTTATGCAGCTTATTTGTGTCTTCCGGTCCTGCTAATGCCTGCTCTAGGATCCACCTCCCGATGGATCGCTGTTGTATCCGCCCACCCTGAAATACTTGGGGGTTCCAACAGAATAAACTCACGATGGGCCATGCTGGCTGCATGTCATGTGGTAGCTTGTGTTCTGATCCTACATCTCTGTCGGCTCAGTAGCATACCAGGAGTTCCTCTGGAACATGGTGCATGGCCTTGCTTCGCAACCCTGTGCTTTCTCTGTCGGGAGAATCCTTGGCAGAAACTGTGTGTGACATCTTTGCCAGTCTACAGATATTTCTGGGTCCCATGACCCAATCGGCAGGGCTGCTTGCATTGCAGCTTGTACCTACTGCAGGTCTTTTCCTGGCCTGGGAGTCCCTCAAAGCTAGAAGTCTTCCGTGTCCCCCCAAAAATGGATCAGAGCAGTATTTCCCAGTGTAGAATATGCTTCCTCCAGAACCTGAAGATGCCTGAGCCCGTAGGATGAAGCGCGTGGACTTCTTTCTTAGTGGTAAGATGCAGTATTTGTCCTTCCCTTTCCAGTAGGTACTGCCCGCTCCTCAGATGCCTGGGATCCTAAAACCTTCACTGATGTGATAGGTCCCTGAAACTTTGTAAAGTTTATTTCCCATCCCCTGGACAGCATGTGTCTTATCAATACCTCTAATGCACTTCCTGCTTCTTGTTTATCCAGTCTGATTAACGTGATATTATTGATAGGATGAACTAATGTGGTGTCTTGAGGAACGTTTAAGCCAGTACTGTGCGCCACACATGTAATTAAAATTTGTTAACATCTCGTAAACTTGGCTTGGGGGACAATAACATTAAGATGTCCATACTATCCAAAGCGATCTACAGATTTGATGCAATTCCTATCAAAATCCAGTGACTTTTTAAATCAAAATAGAAAAATCCAACCTCAAATTCATATGGAATCTCAAGGGACACTGAATAGTGAAAACCATCTTGAAAAAGAGGAACAAAGTTTGAGATCTCACACTTCCAGATTTCAAAAGTTATTATAAATCTACAGTAATCAAAACAGTGTGGTACTGGCATAAAGGCAGACATACGGAACAATGGAATAGAGTAGAGAGCCCAGAAATAAACCCTGGTATGAAAGGTTGCCATGACCGTTCAGTGGGGGAAAGGACAGTCTTTTCAACAAATGGTATTAGGAAAACTGGATATCCATGTGCAAAAGAACAAAGTTGGAGCCTTATCTGATACCGTATACAAAAATGGACTCAAAATTAAAGACCTAAATGTAAGAGCTAAAACTATAAAACTCTTTTTTTTTTTTTCTGCAAAAAGCTTTATTGTTTCCATTTGGTCCATGGCTGGGGAGAGGGTTCCAGTGTGGTTAACAAGCTGCCTACTGGCTTCAGGGAGGGGCTTCAGGCAGAAGCCCTGACACCAGAGGGGCTCCTCAAAGGCTGCTGGGATCTGCAGGCTCCTAGTCGTGCTTGAGGGTGAGCCTTTCAAAGAAATACTCGCCCAGCCCAGCCTGGGGACCAGCCAGCTTGCGGAGGTCGATCAGGTGATCGCCCATCTTCTGGATGAATTTCACCTGCTCATCTAGGAAGTGGCTCTCCAGGAAGTCGCAGAGGTGGGGGTCTGCATGGGTAGAACCCAGGACATGCAGATGCACAAGGGCCTGGTTCAGGTTCTTCTCCGTGAACACAGTGGCTTCCACAGCGTCCTGGGTTTTACCCTACCACCAGGTCCTGTGTTTGACCCTACTCAGCTTGGGACAGCTTCTGCATGTCCTGGAAGAGGGCGCAGCCGCCATGCTGGTTTTGCATTTTCAAGAGACGCTCGCCGCCCTCGAGCTTCTCCTCGGCCAATTCGCAGAAAAAGTGGCCCACGCCCTCCAGAGTCAAATCCTCCCGGTGGAAAGAGAAGCCCTGCAGGAAGAGATGGCGGGAATAACGGTTAGCAGGAGGCGGGGCCAGGCATGCGGACTCCGCCTCTGACTATCCGACAGGACAAAGAAGGCCAGCGCGTGCGCAGAGGGCCGGAGGTGCGCAGCTGAGGGGAACTTGGGCTGGGGGCGTCTTGGGGACCCTCACCAGAGAGAGGTAGGTGTAGGAGGCCCGCAGATGCATGTTGACCAGGCGGTTGACGGCGGCCTCCACCTCGGTGGAATAATTCTGACGAACCTGGGAGCTCATGGTTGAGGAGTTAAGGCCAAAAATTGGTGTTGGCTGGTCCCATTGAGCGAGGATAGCTGAGTGGCTGATTCGAAGGTTGCGACTGGAAAAAAGGTTGGAGGCTGGTGGGAGGCTGGAGCAAAGGGGCGTCCCTGGGTCTGTTGAATTTAAACACTGTTGAAGGAAGAGACAGATCGGGGCGGGGGGAGAGGGGCCGCAGAGCGCACTCTATTAAACTCTTGAAAGAAAACGGGAGGCAGGGACTTCCCTGGTGGCGCAGTGGTTAAGAATCCATCTGTCAGTGCAAGGTACAGGGGTTCGATGCCTGGTCCGGGAATATTCCACATGCTGTCGAGCAACTAAGCCCGTGCGCCACATCTACTGAAGCGCGCGCGCCTAGAGCCTGTGCTCTGCAACAAAGAGAAGCCATCGCAAGGAGAAGCCCGCGCACCGCAACGAAGAGTAAGCCCCGCTCGCCACAACTACAGAAAGTCCGCGCACAGCAACGAAGACCCAACGCAGCCAAATTAAAAAAAAAAAAAAAAGGTTAAAATTGTAAACTTTATATTATGCGTATTTTGTCACAATTTATTTATTTGAAGTATCATTGATTTGTAATATGTTAATTTCTGCTCTATATCAAAGTAACTCAGTTATACATATATACATTCTTCTTTTTTCCGTATTATGGTCTACTGGCTGAATATCAGCATGTCAATTTACTAATATTTTTTAAAATTGTATTTATTTTTGTCTGTGTTGGGTCTTTGTTGCTGTACGGGCTTTCTCTAGCTGCAGCGAGCGGGAGCTACTCTTCATTGCGGTGCACAGGCTTCCCATTGCCGTGGCTTCTCTTGTTGAGGAGCACAGGCCCTAGAGCGCTTGGGCTTCAGTAGTTGAGGCACGCGGGCTCTAGAAAGCAGGCTCAGTAGTTGTGGTGCACGGGCTTAGTTGCTCCACGACACGTGAGACCTTCCCAGACCAGGGATCAAACCCGTGTCCCCTGCATTGGAAGGTGGATTCTTAACCACTACACCACCAGGGAAGTCCCCACATATACATTCTTTTTTTTTTTTTTTTTTTGCTGCACGCGGGCCTCTCACTGTTGTGGCCTCTCCCGTTGCGGAGCACAGGCTCCGGATGCGCAGGCTCATGGGCCCAGCCGCTCCGCAGCACGTGGGATCTTCCCGGACCGGGGCACTAACCCGTGTCCTCTGCATCGGCAGGCGGACTCTCAACCACTGTGCCACCAGGGAAGCCCCTGCATTCTTTTTCATAGTCTTTTCCATTTTGGTTTGTCACAGGATATTGAATATAGGTCCCTGTGCTGTACAGCAGGACCTTGTTGTTTATCCATCCTATATATAATAGTTTTCATCCGCTAATCCCAAACTCCCAAATCTTCCCTCCGCTACCCGCCCCCCTTGGCAACCACAAGCCTGTTCTCTGTAGCTGTGAGTCTGTTTTTGTTTCACAGTCGTGTTGATTTGTGTTGTATTTTA